GGAATATCCGGGCCTCCGAGTAATAGTAAGGAAGATGGGACACCGTCGGGGCCGGCGTTGTGTGTCAGTTTCAGTGAGCGCAGAGCTCGACTAATATTGTTCAGGTCGAAATCAATGGTGTGAATGCGATCGTTGGTAAACTTTGGAATCGTATTTGGCAGTAACACATTAGTGCTGATGAAGGCATCACAGAAGTGTGCGTTAATGAACTCGCACATTTCTGCTGCATCAGTAATAACCCTATTATCAGGAAGCACTAGTGAGTTAATGGGCAAGTCGTTGCGGCCACTGCGATGCTTCATAAGTCGTACAAGTGACTTAGCCTTGTTCACACTGCGCAGCGCAGTACGCTCAGCTAAAGTGTGCACATAATTTTGCGAGTTTCTCCATTCCACTAGCATTTCGTTAATACGAATTATGAAGTGAAAATCCTTAGTATGCTTGTAGCGAGAGCGCATTTTCTTAAGCTTAGTGGTAAGTTTACGCTTGGGGGCGTCATCGGAATTTTGGGGTCTCCTGATCGAACGCTCCATTGGGGCTAGCGTATCGAGCCAAAGCGTGAAGTTATTGTAAAGTTCACAAGTCGCAGTGTCTGTACTAGTTGTCAGGAAGAAAGTGTCCCAAGGAGCGGCACGGAGAAGTGAAGAGAAGGCCTCCCAATTCATATGCTGTAGAGGCCTAAAGGCAGCGTAGATCGGGCCAACAGGGTGAAGGGGAGGACGTACAGTGGTTTCCAGCGGGGCCTATATATTTGCTGCACCACCTGAACATCCACAAGTTGCAAGTTGGTCTAGCCATTTGCTCTACGGGATCGTGGTTCGTTAAATGCGTTCCTCAATTTGGTGCGATGTTCTGGGGAGAGATCTCTAAGAACACAGAATTTTTCTCCCTTTGTGATGTGCAGTCCATCCAAGGATACGGCGACACTCTTCTTCACCCTGACAGACAAGTTTGAGAGGAAGGGGAGCCGGTGGGGTCTTCTCTCTTTCTCCCAAGGCGAAATGCAGAGAAAAAGTTAATTTCTATTTCCCCACAGTCGAATAGAAGAGAGCCGATTCGTTTTAAAAATGCTTGATGGTCCTGTATTCTTGCTGCTGGTGTTGTTTTTATTAGACTCCGGAGTAGTTACTATGATTAGATACCGTTCACGGGAGGGACGCTTGTTTCCAGCAGGTATAGGTGGTTTCGGTGTGCTGGGTTTAGACTTGATCAGATCTTCTAGATGTATCGTTCTGTCCAAAACCAATCGTAGCTGAGATGAAGTAGGCTGCGGTGCGGTTTAGGCTTCTGCACCTTCTTAGTGGTCGTTTTGCGCACCGCTGTGTTTGGGGTGATCGAAATTGGTGGTACGCCATTTCTCGCAACAGTCGCATATGTCTTCGGCTGAGGAACACTGACCCGTCCTTCAGTCTTTGGTGCTGTCGCAGGTGTATCGGAAATGTGTCTACTCCGCCGTCACGAGGTGGTCGCATCTGAAAGAATTGGATAGGAAGGCGAAAGCTCGTCATCTGTGGAGGACCCAGCCTCGGCTGAGCAGGAACGCAGAAGGAGATTCGGGCCATCAAGGGCTGGGTGCTTATTGATCCCTGCAGTTCGGCACTTGTCACACTGAGAGGTGATAATCGGGGAGATATACAGGGGAAACTCATGGTACAGTCCTGCGATGATTCCACGACAAGCGATGTGCAGCCATCCGTTTCAAAAAGGGCATTGCACAGCTATGGGACGAGGCGTGAAGCCCTTGCTGCAGGACACGCATTTAGAAGATATCACTCACGTTTTTCCATTGAATCCGGTTGCAAGCAAGAGACAACACCGACCTTGACCTTGCGGATATTAAAATCAGCGTCTTTGATTAGTTCGATAAGAAATGGACAAATACGTGGTTCACTAGTATAAAAGGGTATGGAATAGTTTTGTATTTTCCAGGGCTTTATGTAGTACGTCTTTCGGAAATTCTGGAATATATTGGACTTGTCCAGCGCATTCTCCGACGAGCTCCGCGTCTTAAAGGAGAACCATTTTTCGTATTACGAGACCTCTCTCCGGAGGACCGAGTAAAAATGAAGAAAGCGGTGGATGAACTTAGATGTCGTCGTGATAACGGTGAGACGGACCTACATATCGTGGATTTTCGCGTTGTTCGAAAAACGCCAAGAACTCGTTGGAGGCCACTCCTTGTAATGCCCGGGCGTTAGAGTTGAAGCATGGACTGCGCGTAATTTCTTCCAACGTGCGCAGTCTCAGAAACAAACTGGACGAAGTTCAGCTTTTTGCCTCCATGAATCGGCCGGATCTTATAGCTTTCACCGAAACCTGGTTGTCCTCGGATATCCTGGACTCGGAGGTGCAGATCCCTGGATACCACCTTTACCGGGCAGACCGCCATGGAGGAAGACCTGGGGGAGGCGTGATACTCTACTGGAAGACGGACTTCAAGGCCCATCTGGTTGAAGCTACCTGTGGCAGCGATGGCGACTTCGAAACTCTCTGGTGCCGTGTTCATGACGGATGCAGATCTCTGATTGTCGGTGTAGTCTACAGGGCCCCATTGGGTTCCGGAGCTTGTCTGCTGGACGCGATCAAAATGCAGGGTGGAGGCAAGGACTGTTTAATACTGGGTGACTTTACTGCTCCGGGTATCGACTGGGACCAACTGCATTGTGTTCCCGCTTCAAACGCTTTTGCTTCCGCGCTTTTAGAGACGGTTATCGAATGTAACTTATTCCAACATGTCACAACGCCTACTCGTATAATTGCAGGACAAACACCCCATATCCTCGACCTTGTACTCTCACCGGCACAATCAGACGTCACCGACCTAGCCGTTCTTCAGCCCATTGGTAAAAGCGATCACTGTGTCATTACATTCCTTTGGACTCGACGACTTACTCTCCACAACCAAGGTCGAGAGAAACGGCAAAAGTACGCACTCGGTTTGGCTTTGCAATCCAAGACAACGCCCAAGGCACTCTTCTCTTACCTGAAGAGAAGTACCAGAGCAGGCAGTGGTATTCCTGCTCTGTATTCCTTGGCTCATGTGGGTTTGCTTGACGATGATGCTGCGAAAGCCAGTCTCATGGCCATGCAATATTCGTCTGTTTACTCGATGGAGACGCCGTTTCCCAGTGACGCGATGCCAATACTCCCTTCTTCGTTGGAGCATGTAGAAATGAGCGCTGATGTCGCTGCCAAAGGCATTCATGAATTAGATCCGAACTCCTCGCCAGGTCCTGATGGGTTGCATCCGCTGTTCCTCAGGACTGTGGCCGATTACATTGCCGCTCCCGTTTGCTGGATATTTCGACATTCCCTTGAAGTTGGACGGCTCCCGATCGCTTGGAAAGTGGGGATTGTTAAACCCATACACAAAGGAGAGGATCGTCAAAACCCTGCCAACGATCGACCCATCTGTTTAACGTCAATATTGTGCAAGGTAATGGAGAGGATTCTCAAGCGAGCACTTCTTTTCCACCTCGAGAACCTTAACGTCATCTCTTGTGCGCAGCATGGTTTTCGGCGGACGCGCTCCTGTTCTTCGAATCTGCTTGTGGCCCTTGAAAGATGGGCGAAATCATTAGACGCTGGGAAACGTCTGGATGTTATTTTTGTCGACTTCAGCAAGGCCTTTGATAAGGTTCCTCATGAAAGACTCCTTTATAAACCACGATTAATCGGTGTTTCTGGGAACGTTCTCTCTTCGATCGCTGATTTCTTGGATAACCGGACAATGCGAGTCGACGTGAACGAGACTTACTCCGCTTCCGTGCTCATGACTAGCGGTGTCCCACAGGGATCGGTCCTGGGCCCAGAACTTTTCAAGATCTTCATCAATGACCTCCCGGCGGAACTTCAGTTGGATTGCTTGATTTACGCTGATGACTTGAAATTGTGGATGGAGGTATCCTGTCTTGACGAGGCGGACCGATTACAGGCTACACTTGACACGTTACATGAGTGGTCAGTCAAATGGCGATTGCCCATAAATCGCGATAAGTGCTCGGTCCTTCCCATTGGTGCTTCTGAGCCTTTCGGGACGTATCACATCGGTGGGACGTTGCTCAGAACCTCAATCCTAGAAAAAGACCTCGGCTTGTCGGTGTCATCTGATCTACGGACTACACAGGACACGTTACGAAGGGTTGCTGCTGCCAACAGGATGCCCCACGCCATCCGACGAGCTTTCTCGCGTTTGACAACGGATATCTTCCGACTATTGTTTACTTCCCATGTCCGCCCCATTCTCGAGTACGGACTACCTGCCCTCTTCCCTCTCACCAAGTTCGAATGTGACCTAATTGTGAAGGTGCAACGGCGTGCATCAAAGTACGTCTTGGAGTTACAAGACTTGCCTTATCCCCGGAGACTTCAGCGGATGAATCTGTTCACCCTGGATTATCGCCGACGTCGCGGTGACCTGATTTTCACCAGGCGCATCCTGAGAGGAGAGATGGTGACGGAGCTGCAGGCGTGCTTTCAATCCAATCCAAACAGTTCAACTCGAGACCACAACTGGAAACTTTTTAAACCCAGAAGAATTGGGATTCATCCTGCTCTCGCTCTATCAACTCGCGTAGTCAACGATTGGAATAACTTGCCGAAGTATGTGGTCGATGCCCAGACAGAGGAATGTTTCAAGCGAATGTTAGACTCTTATCTTTTGAGTACGATGGGTCCTTGCAGCTTCCAGTGTAGCTGTCAAGGTCCCTTGTGGATTACCGCATAACATCGAATCGCGGCCTCCACACAATGATCGGGAAGCGATGGAGCTGACAAAGGATTTCTCCTTCTGCTCTCTACAATCCTATGAATCTATGAACCTATGTACGTGAGATCGAGTTTGACACGCGTAGTTTAGGGAAACATAAACACATTTACACCTTAATATACATAAAATAGCATATTGCTATCTTTGTCGTGGATACCTTTTATTCTGACTTTCAGAATCAGGTTACACTTGTTTAACTTTTCTGACGAGGCAATTGAAGGCCGTTGTTGTTGACATTAGTTTTTAGCCGGTCCGCGGGCGTCACGGTAACACGTTATCAGGTAAGAGGTCGATCGGTTTTGCTTCCTGCTAGCATTACTATCCTATTCCTCTCCGGCACTCATCTTTCCCTCTTCAGTGCTTCCTTAGTTACTTCCTTTACATCAGCCTCTTACTAGGCGGCTCGAGCGTCCAGCTTTCTACCAGGTATTTATTTTGCATTTCAGCCTGTCGCACTACTTGGACAAGTAAGAGCTCAGAACGCCGGCCCAGAGGAATATTACAAGTTTAACGCTACACAGATGGAGGTGATAACTCAGGACCGGATAGATGAACTTAAAGCAAAGCTGGCTCTTCTAGGTAATTAATCAGTAGAATTTGGAGCGTGTCTTTAGATGGCGACCGAAAAGCTTATTTGGAAGGCGCAATACATGCTTTATCTGAAAATAAAAAGCGTGTCGCTGAGCTGAGGTTTGAAAATAATAGGCTGAGAACAATACTTCGTGAAGGACTCTCTGCAGGTTGAATTTGACAAACAATGTCATTTTTTAGAGGACCACATCATTAACCATGTTTTTCACAACCGCCAGGCCGACAAAGCATGTTTAGCTAACAAAAGCGGATCAGTGAGATGCATCTTTACTCACTATTATGCTAGTGAAGGAAGCAATAACAGTTATGGATTACCGAACCTGTGACGTTATGAAAAAATATAACGCTTTAAAACATCTTACGGTTCAAAAGGAAGAAAAGATCGAACAGTTAAAAAAGACCTATTATGAATTGAAGCAATTGATGGACGACGAAAATGCAACAACTGCGGGCACAAATAAAGAAGGACGACATTTAAGAGAACTGGAGAATCGTTTGGACAAGGCTCAACTAAAATACCAAGAAGCCGAACATATAAAGCGGACCTATATGCAAATAAAGGATAAACTTCAAGAAGTGCGCCGCATAGCTTAGGCTGTTAATGTTTGTTTCCAGGAGCAGCTTACCTATGGTCACAGCTTAGATGCTTTAGAAAAGCAAATTAGGCTAGCAAATGAAGAACTAGCTGAACTTCAGACTATGTTTAATAATGCAGTACTTTCACGTGATGCAGCCCAAAAAGAACTAAAGTATCAAGAGGAAGTTATCATGAACGAACGCAAAAGACGTGAAACTGAGTTGACTAGTATGAAACGAGTGGCAGAAGGAAAGAAGACGCCTAGCGATAAAACGATGCATACAGTAAGTACTGTTGGTCCAACTTGTGTCTTTGGTGTGATGATTGATCCAGCAAATATCTACATCGAAATTTACTTGATATTATGCATGTGTGCCGGCTTGCACTAAAGCCCCTATGAAATGATCTGCCGGTAGCGTCTATGCACAATCGCTCAACAGTCTGAAAATTAACTCACTTCTTTAGTTAACACATCGTTTACACGTTACACCTGAACTTGTATTTTGCTATAACTTCTAAATGTTATCTTTTTGCTCTGAGTCCAATATCTTACGCTAATTGCAATTCTAGCAAATGCTGTGGTCACAATATGACAAAGTTTAGGTCAGATTTTTAGGATGCTTATTTTGAGTTGCCGATTTGGCTTATTATCTTGTGATGCAACATGATTTGCATTATCAGTCCCCACTACTCTGGTTATTTGTAATGGCAAGCGGAAGCGCGAATGTATTAAACTCTGTTACTAATTCTAAAGCAATAAAAATGTAGCACTGTCAGTATTTTGATACGAAATCTAGGATCTGTAGTAAAATGCTTGGCCTCGATGTAGAAGTTTTACTTTTTGTGACAGCACCACGTCATCTGATAGCTCGTTTTATGAACCTACTACATTCAGTGATAGACGAATGTTGTATCAGATCCCGGCAGCCCTGGATTTGCGTAGCTTCAGTAATGACCTCGAAGATAAAAGCCGAGGTGATTTAAAAGGCTAAAATAAATCATAGTCGATCAGTCCTGTCCGTAGTCCGTGGGTTAGGCCCAAGTCATCGCAATGTTGTTGATAATGCAGTAAAAACAGTCCAGGCCTAAGTAGCTATTCTGAATGCAAACATAGTTTTATTTCTTCAAAAACTATATTGTTAACTACCAGAAAATGTTGTACTGTTATTTTGTCCTAAACCAAGCGCAGTGGGCAAGCCTAGACAAAGTACTCCATGTAAGGCATGGCATAAGTTTGGAACAGTTTAGCAAATATCCCTACTGGGATGACTACTACTGGGATTGACAGCTGTACATTACCTTCTGAATGGAAGGAGACTTCGTCTGTCCTATCATCTAAAATGGCAACAGGAGTGTCAGCCAGTTATAGGCTAATCAATCTGACTTTCGTCCTGGTCAAACTGCTTGAAAAGCTGTTGAGAGATTCGTTGGAAGGTCACCTGAATAGATTTAATCTACTCAGTAGTGCACAACACGGATTCCGGAAGGGTTTTATGTTTGATGAATTAGTTGGTTGCTCATAAAGCTTGGACTGAAGCAGTGGATAATGGCCACGTAGTGGATGTGCTTTTCGTTGACTTCTCGAGAGCATTTGATAAGGTACCTCAACGCTATCACAAAGCTCCTACGACGTATCTGGCCACGCCCCTCTCTGGGTAGCTGCATTCTTGCAGGGAAGAGAACAGTGTACTTGTGGGTCGTAGCTTATCCTTTAGGCAAGCGGTCCTTAGCGGTGTCCCACAGGGCTCGTTCCTTGGACCAGTAGTGTTCTCCATCTATGTAAACAACCTTCGCTATTGTTCGCTGATGACCTTAAGCTATGGAATATGGAAATGTCCCTGGGGGTTCTGAGGCCATGCAGCATGCCTTAGACAGACTCTGTGACGGATCTACTTTATGGCTACTGCCCATTAATCAGGCCAAGATCAACTTTCCCACTTACGGTGTACATGTTCGGCGGAGTCGAACATTCCCTTGTCACCAACCAGGTAGACCTAGACGTCGTCAATTCCTCGTCTTTGCATTCTAATGACAACTGGAAGAAGGCCGCAACTAGGGGTTCTATAATATTGGGGTTAACACGCAGTGAGGCTGGACCTTACCGTGGTGCGATGGTTTGTGTGCCTCAGTGACCCATTGAGCTATACTGGGTAGTGCTTTTGCACCTTCAGAGCCACTCATACCAGATTGGTCAATGGTTAGAGGCCAGACAAACTCAGCCTCCTGGTCCTCCAGGTTGGGGGTTGGAGTGAGGGTGGCTCCTTATTCCTTAAAACGGACTCCTTGTAGTCCAGTGCCAAACCCGCTGCCTTGCGGTCAGGTTTTTTAACCAAAGGCTTTGGTTGAGAACCCTAATCGTTCTCCTGTCTAGGCCTGGGCAACCTGACAGTATCCTGCCCACGCAATACAATGAATCCTTCCCCAAACAAATTTCTGATGCTCTGGCCACCGCAGAGGATAATCAGCGGTGCCCTATCTGCTGCATCGAGCAGGGTGGATAGGGGTTTGGATGCTACTGCTCAGGCCTTCCCATCTTCTTATTCCCCTTCTTGCGCTTTTTCACCCTTATCGTCCCGTTCCAGCTTTACTTTTATCCCCCCTGTTTTCAACCCCCCAATTCTCGGCCCTCCCCTACCTTGCTTCAATAGTCGCTTGTCTTTAAGTTTCAACTCACAGGTGAACGCAGAGCGTCATTCCTGCACTGTCAACAGGCCCATGTCCAAGCAAGCGGCCCATTCCAGTTCATCGGCTTCCATTTGGAGCCCTCGATCCTCCTTCAGACTGGCATGCCTCAGTGTTCGCACATTGCTTCAGATTGGTCAACAGGCAGCACTTGCCCGTACATTGGAGACCCTCTCGATCGATATCTGCTGCTTATCGGAGACCCGCCTGCAAGACTGGAGCTCTGTACTCACTCTGCGATCCCCTTCAGGTGACACTAGCAGCACTTTCTCATTGCGCCTATCCGGTGACGATGCAGCTTCGAGCACCGGCCAAGCCGGTGTTGGTATCGCCCTGAGTCCCCGGGCTGAAACTGCCCTGGTTGATTGGATTCCAATCAGTAGCCGGATGTGTGCGGTCCGATTGGCTGGCTCGTTCAAAACTTCGAAGTCGCGTGGGACTAACAGGTGTCTATTCGTTATCGCTGCCTATGCACCGACAAACTGTAGCGATGACTCGGTAAAAGACGACTTCTATCGCCAACTGAACGAACTCCTTCGCCACAGAAGAAGCTCGGATACTGTAGTGCTGGCTGGGGATCTGAACGCTCAAGTTGGAAAATTATCCGCAGATGAGCTGCATCTGGGCGGCCAACATGGTATAGGCTCCCGTAATGATAACGGTGAGCGGTTACTTCATTTGTGTGAGGATACTCGCTTATTTCTTGCGAGCACTAATTTCCGACACAGCACCCGCCGGAGGGTGACTTGGCGCCCACCAGCCTCGAACCAGCTTTGGACGCAAATCGATCACATTGCGATAAGTTACCGATGGAGAGGCTGCGTCCAGAACTGTCGCTCGATTTGGAGCACAGGTGTTGACACCGATCATGCACTTGTATGTGCTGACCTGCGGATGCGCTTTGGCGGACGTCCGTGACGATGTTGTGAGCGCATTGACACCGGCAGACCGGTGAATCCAGCTGTTCTGAACGCCTATCAAAATACGCTGTCATCCGAGTTGGATAAACGCTCACTGGATGCAATTGAAGCTCACTGGTCGCATATGCAACAGGCCTTACTATCAGCAGGCAAATCCTCATGTGGTATGTCTAATCGCCAACATGAACATTGGGTCTCTTCACAGTCTTTGGAATTATAGATGCTCGCCGGCACATTTCGGCTGGAAGCGAACACAATGAAACTCGCAAAGAGCTCCGGGCAAAACTCCGTGCTAGCCTGAAGAGAGACCGCGAATCCTGGTGGTCTCGTCGTGCAACAGAGATGGAAATGGCCGCTGCCCTTGGTAACCATCGTGAGTTATTCCGTCTTATACGGGAAACGGGCAGCAGTAGACCTGGTGTTAGTGAAACTATACGTGACGAGAGTGGACAGCTTATCCACAATTTATCAAAACGCCTGGAACACTGGGCTGAGCACTTTGAAAGGCAATTTAATCGGTCGGAATTGTTAGATTTCTCGCCGACCAGTGATCGCCCTGCTCCGTGGGCTGTTCCTTTGGATCCACCCTCTCGCTCAGAAGTCGAACATGAGATCAAACTGTTGAAGTTAAGTAAAGCCGCGGGACCTGATGACCTTCCTCCAGCCCTTTTCAAATTCGGGGGACCTGCTCTTGTGGATGATTTACACGAGTTACTAGTGAGATTGTGGGAGCAGGAAACTGTCCCAACCGATTGGAGCCGCTCCATCATAGTCCCAATTTTCAAAGGAGGCTCACGATCGGAATGCGGCAGCCATAGAGGAATCAGTCTGATCTCCATCGCCTCCAAATTGCTTGCCTCTGTCATACTTCACAGACTGACTGGCACTCGTGAAAGCCAGATTCGTGAAGAGCAAGCTGGATTTCGTCGAGGTCGTAGTTGCATTGACCACATCTTCACCTTGCGTCGGTTGTTGGAGCACCGTCACATATATTGGCGGCCCACCGTTGTCGTGTTCCTCGATATCAAAGGTGCATTCGATTCGGTGGATAGACATGCACTTTGGGACTGTCTACTCAGGAAAGGTATACCTGAGAAATATGTGAATATTATCCGAGCATTATATGCTCGTAGCTCGGGCAGAGTGAGGGCTTACGGCAAGTTGTCGTCGCCCTTTAATATCTCCAGCGGCGTGAGACAAGGATGCCCGCTGTCACCTTTCCTCGTCAACTTCGCTGTTGATGAAGTCATGGAAATCGCGTTCACAGGAGACGACTTAGAATGTGTGGAGCTACTCCCAGGAGAACGACTTCTTGATTTAGAGTATGCTGATGATATTGCCCTGATCTGTGACAGCTCACAAACGTGCCAAGCGGCACTGGACAGATTAGCACTAGCTGTCCGTCACTTCGGGCTTTGCTTCGCACCCTCGAAGTGCAAAGCGTTTCTCCAAGATTGGTCTGGACCGCCTCCTACGCTGACCCTTGGTGGGGATCAGCTAGAAGTCGTTCAAAAATTCAACTACCTGGGAAGTTGTATCAGCGCCCGTGGGATTGAAGATGAAATCACGAATCGTATAGCAAAAGCTCGGGGCGCTTTTGCTAACCTTCGCCACTTATAGTGCCGGCGCGACATCACTTTCCCTGAAGGGTAGAGTGTACAATGCAGCAGTACGTTCGACCC